ATAAGCCACAAATATATGAATTATGAGTTTGTACTTCTTTAATTAGCTAAACAGATCATGATTTTATTAGTATTAATAAAGTGCAATAGTTAGTTTCTGAGAAATAAGGGGGTGTTACTTTAGGAGAACTATGTCAGTATCGGCAACTTTCCTCTATTCTAATAAAAACTATAAATGCTTCGATATTTTTACGATAGTGGATTTTAATTTTAACAAGTTTATTATTGAAATATGATTCTGCATAATACGAGAAATTAAGTATATTTAATTAAAGCAAAGTTTGCGTTATTATGTTCTATTAAATTATATGATATACTAAGTGTTCAAATCAGGCACCAGATATCTACCAAACTCTCCATTCTGCGCAAAGCCGTATGAATTGCAAACATGTGCAGATATTCTGTGAGAGACGTTATCGCTGTAAAACATCACTCGGTTGAAATTCAAACATGAATAGAAATTTTATTTTAGCATACAGTGAAAAATTTTCACTTCGCGTTAAAAGCTGGTGCGACCTTTCAATTTACAAAATCAGTTTATTCAAAAATCGTTATAAGAAAGAACTAAGAGTGTAAAATAAATTATGGATACACAAATGCTTTACGGATCGAATATGTTCTGATAAACGTGTATGACACATCCTACGACATACATAAAAGTTGCACGCGAGTTGGGATATGTGATATTATCTTTGCGAAAGCGCATCGTTCGCTCAAAACATCCTCATACAAACACACACATATGACGGTTGAAAATAGAATCAAACTTTCAGCCAAAGCCGTGGATGCAATTTCGTGATATATATTGCTAGAAGCCGCTGTGAACAGGCAAAAAGAGAAAAATTCAATCTCCCGAAACTAACTAGCTAACGATCAGTATCACTTTAACAACATTATTTTACGGTTGCAGGTGAGGAAGTGGTGACGGTGCCGTCTACCAGCAACAGTCAGGAGAGCTGGAAAGCGCAGAGATTGTCCATAAACGGCGAATCGCCGCAATCGAGCAATCGTCGCCGCGGCTGCCGGCCTCAATTGCAACCGGTTGTTTCCGGCGGTAAAAGGAATCGACCGGCGCCACCCCCGCCGCCGCAGCCGATATCCTACAAGGTCAATGCCAAGGATGGGATCGACAGGTACTTCGACTGGCCGAATAAAGAGAACACGCCCGGAAATGCCGTGAATCGTTGCGAGGACGATCACCAAACGAACCAAATCCAGGCAACCGAGGAAGCGATAATGGGTTCGAACCTGAGCAGACATAATGGAAAGGGCCTTACTGGCCGGCGCACTCAATCTTCCGGAAACTTGTGCGACCCTAAGGGAAAACTCAACAGTATGGGGAAGATACTAGTGCCCTGTTCCAGCGCGCAAAGAGAAAGGTTAGTCATTTATAATTATTATCTCTTCCATTACTGAAAATAGTCTTTCATTCATTTTAATACATTGACTGATGTCATGGTGCTCATCGCGGTTGCACCGTTCTGCACTGTTGCGACAAGCGTCTTTCAGTTGCCGCAGTCATTAATGCTTGTAAAAAAATTAATGTTATCATTCAACATTGAAATATACTTGTTTATAATAATGAAAATTCTATTCTATACGATAAGACGTACAAGATTCGCTGGATAAACAACGTGTTAATTTAAATTGAAAGTTTTTATCTTTAATTAAATATTAAAAAAAAAAAGAAATTTAACATTTTGCTTATTCTTGCTAAACTATTTTTGTACGATCTATTTGTAACATCTGATGTTAACATTTAATTATGTAACTGTTTTTATAAAGATTGAAATAGTAATTTCTTTTTGTTGAAGTTTTTTTAAGAAAAATGTAAAGAGAGAAGTATACATACATAAAATTAGATTACAATTTGATTAAAAGTATAAAATTAAAGTTATTGGAAAATTATATAAACATGAAGAGAGTTGGCACGATACTTCGTTGCTACGAAGACGGAATTAAATATTGTGAAACATTATTACATGAGAAAAAGGCGGATGTAAACACGCTTTTCTCCCGACAAATTAGATCTTTATAACCTAGTCTTGTAGACATTGTTAATTTTTAAACGGCACGAAAAACAATTGAAACGCTACAGGGGATAGTTATGTTGCAACTTACGGAGGGAAAGGTTAATTCACGATCGATTACTCGTCTGATATCTTTAAAACACTATATCACGCTAATAGTTTGCTGAACACAAATTTATCTAGGGATTATAAACATATTCAGGCTCAGTGGATTATAAACATGATTAGGCTACATGAATTGGAAATATATAGTTTAAATTCAAGTATGATTACATATATATATATATATAGATATATATACATGTATTAAATTTATTACAATTAAATTCAATGCACAATTATATTATTATATTTTTGAATGATAGATATCTAAAATAATGCTATTCTTTTTATGCTATGTTATACGCATTAACGTTGTTTTCAATGGAATTATTTTGTTTACTTACTATCAAAGAAAAATTAATTAAAATAATGAAATAATTTTTTTTCCATTTTTTTAAGTATTAAGTAACATTTGTGCACAGAGCATTCATGTAATGCTTGTCAACTGTATAAAGAAGGGAGCTCATTCACTGTCGCGTCGGTGTGAACTGTTCTTTACCCACGATCCCCGCGGAACGATAAGACATTAACTCTCTTCACCTTTAACTCTTTGCTCACAAACCCTTTGTATCTGTTGAAAAAAAGATTTACTTAACACGCACATCTTTTCATAAAGAAATTACTAAATTTCCTCACAAATATTTCATTTTAATTTTTTTAATTGACATCTCAATCGTTACTTTAAAATCTTTCCTTTTTTTTCCTTTCTTTTTATCATTTCTTTTTAAGAATCGTAAACGACAAATAAATGTTTTTTTGAGTTGACTGAATGAGAAATTGAAAACCGTCTTGAAAAATATCGTTAATAATGAGAAAAAAAGTAGCATTGAACGTTGTTTGGTCTTTTAACAGAGCGAGGATATTTAGAAGCTATCAGATAAATTAATATCATCACTGTCAATCAAAAGGGATTATCATGACATTCGTAGCTATTAACAGAACTAACTCATTGATCGACAGTTTCATGGTATTAATTTGTATGATAGCTTCTGAATACCCAAGAGATTACTTAAGCTAAATGGATACTCATTAATAAAGGATAAAGCAAATACGTATAAAAAGAATTATTTTCGAAAAATTAGCATAACGAAATCGACTAAGATTGATAGTGAATCGATCAATAGGTTTCTCTCTTGCAAGATCGTCTTCTTAATTATTCCGTCGAGGATTACGACGCAGTATCTCCATATAATTCATGAATGGCTATATTTAGCCACGAATAGGATTACTTGCCAAGTGATAAAGCTCTCTAATTCACAAGCACATGTTAATTAAATCTAGAGAGCAGGCAAGATGTCGCTAGGAGACTATTTGTAAGGTAGAAAACATGCAAAATCCTTATTTCGAGAAATCCTAAAATCCTGGAATTGTCCGTGTTGTGTACTGATATACACAACATCCTAAGCTGCATAAGACGATTAAGCAATAATAAGGTTGTCGTGAAAACATGACGCTGTGTATGTCAATAATATACCTTTACTCCTGTTCACCTAACCAGCTAAATTGAGTAAGCCGCTGACCGTGCGTTCGACAATGGCCGAGATCATTAATCCGAAGGTGAATTATATTCGACGTTGATAACGGTGATAAATGACGGTGATAAATTGGCAGAAAATGAACCAGCCGCGCACATTGCGTCCTGTTATTAAATTAATAATTATTTGTGTCTTGTATGTTCGTCATAATAATGAACTGGGTAAGATGAAACCACGACTGATGATAATCTTGCTGTAACCGGTTGATCGCGCGGTATGCCATCTAAAAACTATTAGTGAATCCGTCAAGGACAGACGCCTCGTTAATATAACTTTAATAAGTCCTCTGAAACTCTCAGCCATTTTTCATAATATAAGGTCGACATTTCGTGATATTTGATTTAATACCTGTGCTGTATCTCAATTAAGCTTTTACATATTTTATTAACATTTTACTATGCTGAAGAAACAACATGAACAAAAAACTGTTGCATTTTAATTAATTAATTTTTTTTATACAAATTTATAAATGTATGTATATTTCGAGCGTGAAATAAATTGTACAGAATTAATGAATAATAATATATTTTATTACATACACTTTTAGTTGTGATTATACAGCTTTGCTTAAAACATCTACATTCGTGCAGCTTTGCTAAATTTCATCTCCGACGACAATTGAATTAATCAAGATGTTTAAAGTATAAATGGTAGCGCTTTTAAAGTAAACGGAGAAAACTGAGAAACTTTACTGATGCGGAAGTCTTGCGTCTTGCAGCGACGTGCAAAACAGGGAATCCACTTGCATTAGTGTCTCCTGGGTGCATAGTTCTCTAAGGTTCTCTCTCACAGCAACCTTACAATGGGGTTAGCAGCAGCACCTCCGGTAGTAACAAGTTGCCGGCCGCGAGATAATTTAAAGTACCTTTAAGGTCGGCCAGTCTCTGAACCAGGGCGGCTTCCATTAAACCCTCGTTTACGCGGCGCGGTGCTGGAAGGAATAAGGATACGTGAACTAAAAGAGCAGTCTCGGGAAGAGAATATTAAAAGGCGGCCTTGCGCTTCCTGATCTCATTTGCGTAAGTGCTGTTGTCTGACCCAGCAGTGACAATACCAGTAATACGCATAAGCAGAATTGTATCTCCGTTTGTGTTACTTGTTTGCTTAAGCCTTGAAATATCTCAGACCACATTTTACTTACATTACCGCAAAAAGCCATTTCTTTCTCCATGGATATAAAAAGATGTTTTAATTAAAAGAAAATCTTGCGGCTAGTTGCTATTATATTTTATATAATATCAACTTACTGTACCATAATATTACGCTCTATTTTTGTATTTGTTTATTTAATGTTAGAACAGTAATTTCACTTCCTATAAGAAGACATATTCTTACAAATTTCTATGTTTTTACTACGTTCAAAATAAGAAAATAAAAAATGTTATCCTGTGTAATGAGGATCACGGCGAAAGAATGTAGTGAAAGGTCATACAATATCACGAGTTTATAACGGGATTTTCTGAATTTTAATATTATTTTAACATTGCGTTTCTTGTCACGGTTATGGTTGTCAGGAGTTGTACTATAAGACTGTTACTTGTATCATTGCTCTATGACCGGATAGAATTTTTAGGCTCTATACCGGGATATCCGCAACGCAAGAGGTCGAAGTAAGTGGAAAGACCGGTGAAAGGTCAGATGTTCTGCGCGCTTGTGCGCTTATACATGCCACGGAGGTTTGCGCAGGCAGGCATTCGCCTATCCACCGGGTGTGAAAGCGGACTACAGTGGATGATGTCACGTACGAATTATTAGTAAAGTTTCCTATACTGTTCTCGGTACGGTCCGTTGTCACGTAAGGTGTTTTATGAGACGCATGCAAACACGATCGCCGAGTAAATACGAAACGTTGTCACATGTTGTGACATTATGACAATTATGTTATGCTTCCTAACTTGTTTTCCAAGTCTTAGAATGACGTAACATAATAGCAGAGAAAAATAGGTGGAGCCACACACATACAACTTTTATTATTACAAAAAGCATTTTCTTCTTGTCAAAGGATCTAAAAGAAAGAAAATATTGGTACTGCAATATCGACTTTTTTAATATAGAAATAAAAGAAGAAAAGCGGAATTGTATATCGTATAGCGCTTAAGAGCAAATTGAATTTAACTTTGTCATTGCTTTCAATATGATAGAATAAAAAGCTGTGTATGATATTTATATCGAAAATACACGGCAAAGCTTATTTTATCGACAATTCGCGAGCAAATCGAGATGTCTTAGGATTATCATCCACGGTGCTATTTCGATTCCGGTGCGCTCGATTTCATCTTGTTCGAGTGTCACGTATATCACATAGCACGCGAACGTGCTGTCACGGCGGAGTTCTTTCCATCGCATCCAACCTCATATACCGCTTTTAAATGCTTTTATTTCATTTTATTTTTATTCACCTTCGCTTGCGTCGACGTTGCAGGCGTAGCAATGGCGTTTAAACTGCAGGAGTGTGTTCTCTCACGCACGTCGCGCAAATTTACATTCGAGGAACATTTCGCGCATTACATATACGAGCAAAGATACATAAAACGATCGTTCGCACCCCCGTTTGTACGTTATTACGTCAACGAAATAACATACAAACGATGTGAGCAGCGAATTATGTAAATTACCGTAAAGTATTTTTTCTTATACAGATTTTGACGCTTTCTGACAGCAGCTTATTACACGAAACGCGTGCTTCCTATATTCTTATACAAACTTCCCGACACTTTATCTTCCTTTGTACTTGTAATAATGGGAGAAACAAACGAATTACGTAAATGATCTAACGTGTAAAACACATTACGAAATATCACTTCCACAGGAAGTTTATTCTACAGAATATCTTGCTAATACATGCATATTTGTAATTTCTTGCTAATTATCGTTTCGTGACCTGTTTGGGATCTGAATAAATAAATCGATATATAAAATTTCAGAAACTCTAAGTAAAAAAATATATCTTACTTATTTCAAAAAAAACTAATTTAAAAAATATTAACTTATGGTGTTTCTGAAATAAATGAGCATTTTTATACATATAGGATAGGGTTTTTTAATTGGGAAATTCCGTAAATAATGACAGACTTCTGAAGATGTTCTTTCATGATGTTTACTGCCTAAAGAAACTTGAAAAATTTTCGGAGAATTTCTCTTTTATCCTGAAAATATGAATTTTTATAGAATTTTATCGGGTCTCAAAAAAGTTTGGAATTTACTTTCAAAAATAAATTCTGTCTCTTTCTGAAAACATTTCTTTCTTTAATCATTTTTTTAATTATTTGTTTCTTTAAGCATTTTTTCTGATAATGTAAAATATTGACAATCAATTAGCAATCAGTACAGCACATTCGTATATATTCATGTACATTCTATGTATGTTTCGCGAGTTCTTATGAAAAAGAATCAAGATGATAATATAAGACAATACCCAGCAAAATAGAATAGCTGATATCTACCTTCATTGATTTTGTACACAGTGAACCTTTTCTATACTATCCTATAAGTTTCGCGGCTCCAATTGTAAAAAATGACAAATATATATTGTTTCATAGAATCCTTGTTTTCCCTTAATTTTCAATATATATAGTTTGTTTGCGTTGTGCGCACTTCAATTTATTTCAAAATTACATTAAAAATTCTCTAAACTATTTAGAATTTTAAATAAAAATATCTAGAAAATCCGGAAGAGAATTTTTTACAAAATTTCAATAAACGTTTTGTTTATTGAAATTTTGTATCTATCTTTATTGATTCTAAATTCCCTAATATCTCAATTTCAACAAAATTTGACTTGTGGAATTTCTGAAATAATCGACCGAATCTAATCACCCAACAATTTGTTCTTCCTACACAGGTATAAATTTTGCGGTTCGCTACCAAACCACTTGGACGATAAAGATGCGCTGGATGACGATCGAGGGGATAATAATAACATCTCGTCAGAAAATGTTGGCGGAAATTTCGGCGGCACGTTACCACACAAGAAACGCTCGTTAGGAGTGCACTTCTCGGACAGCGGACCGACCGGTACTTTGGATCTCGTTAAACATCGATCGCAGGACTCTTTGGATGAAAACGATCCTTGGAGGTACGTGATAACCAAGAACAAGAATAATGTAATAACTATTCATTTCATATTACAGAGAAATACGATGCACATTGAACGTTTGACATGTAGCCTCTTAGAATAATTAATTATCCTTAATAAATTCCTGAAATTTATCGCTCTTCACTTATGCACGCGATTCCGCATGCACATTTCATCGCGAGACTGTCGGGGATCGACGCGGACAGAGGCATGGCAATTTGGAGAATTCCGGGAATGTCCCTTTAGACTTCAATTCAATCTCCGTCGATCGATCGATCGATCGATCGATCGATCGATCGCGCATACTTTCATATCAAATGCGAATCCTCGAAAGTTTTAACTTCGAACCTGACATATCCTTCGCGCGCGCGATGAACTTCCCACATTTTAAAGTCGAGGAAATAGTTTTCCCGTCGACCCTCGGCACGAAATGGGTCCCGCTTCCGGCGAACGCGAGCGCGCAAATCTTTCCCCGGTGGAAGATTAACCGCGAGCGATTCCGGCCTGATTCTAGGTATCAACAAAGTGACCTCGACCTCGTGCGAACCCGTCACGGTAACTTCGACTCGGTCAAGAGAAATCGCAGCGCCGACACTGTGCTAGTCGACTCTGGCAGAAGATACGGAGGTCGCGGCGTGTCCTCGGAGGACAGATGCCACCGAAACTCGGACCTCGACCTAGTCGGCACGCTGCCGAAGCGCAAGCAGGACGCTAGAAACAACAGCGGCAGGAGCCTGCAATCGAACTCGTCGTCTTCACAGCCGTGCATAATGAACGCCACCACCGACGTCAACGACGAGTTGCTGATGAAGATGGTGCATAAGCCCGATTGTGAACTGCTCAAACATCGCCAGCAGCTCGGCAAGTGCGTCGATTTAAAGCTGAGCAAACTGAGCGGCGAGCCACAGGATCAGGGATACGCGTCCGAGCGTTCGCCCGAGGACGAGCATCCACCGTCGTTACCAGGCCAGCCGTTTCCAAATGTGACACTTGGTAAGTGACTCACCGTGCCTTATTCGTATAGCTCTTTTTATTATTAAAAAAAAATCGTGTGACGACATTCTCGTACTAGATACAGATCTTTTTTCCACGTTCTATACGACGTGGATTAAAACGTGAGTGCCTTTTCCCTGTGAAAAAGCATCCATTATCCGACACATAATTAACGCGCAATTAATATTCACTTGCGCATAATCAGCTTATTGTTAGCAAGCGATATTCACCGCGAATACTTAACGTCGTCCAATCGTGTGAGATATTCGTTCGCATGGAAGAACGATTCGTTCGAGGGAAACCTGAGGGAGGATAGATACGTGTGAAAATGCGATCGCGCTTACACGAGGCTGACGTAACAGGATTTCGAGAGATATATTAGGGAGGATGGATTATACATGAGTAAAAACTTCTTTATTTTGCTTTCGCGAATCTTATTTTATTGGGGATAGACTACCTGTATTCCCACGTGCGCGAGAAACTGTTACAAATTTTCCGAAGGTCGAGAGCCCTTCTTCGCTACCGTGATAAATACGAGCAGCCTTGCCATGTGCAGTAACGAGCAGCTGATAAAGATGAATGGCTCGAAGAGATGACAGATGAATGAAAATCGCGCTAGCCATGCAAATGGTCGATTAGCAGACAAGGCTAGTCGATTTCATATATAAGTCTCAGTTTTCATTCAGGTTTTTCCATTAATTTAATCCTTGGTTTTCAGTCATAATCTCCAAATAATGTAAACGTATAAATATAAACGTATTGAAATTTTTTACTTAATTTGCGTATATTAACTATACTCTTCAATTTATACCAAAAAAAAAACAGCTGATTATACAAACATGAACCTAGTGTACTAACATTCTCAAGTTGTTAAGAAATTAATCTTGCACAAGCTTTGCATAACAGATTATATGATGTAAAGTACACATGTTTGATTATTACGACATTTTTACGAGTTCCACGAACTTAATAACACGATAGCGTTTCGTAACTTATAGTTTTTTAACGAAATAACTCGGCTCGTTGATATATATATGATTAAATCAATTAATCATTCCTCATAAATTATCACTCGTCGCGCGTGAAGGAATAAATAATAATTTTCCATCGTCAATGTATAACACGATTATAATACGGCTGCGATTAATTATAATTTTCCTTGACTTGTCGACGAACCAACGAAAAATTTTGTTGCTTCAACTCGCCCATAATTCAGGCAAAACGTTTACACGATTACATTAATTAGAATTCTCGTGATTGCACCAGACTCTAAGAATCCTGTCAAATTCAGACAAATCTACATAATTTTACATATAACATATGTCGAAATGGCTTCTGAGCCAGTTGTTCATGTTTGAAAGCACTCTCTTTCATAGTTAGAGAGAGAGAGAGAGAGAACCTTGGAATGGATAATGCGTCATTTACTTTCGGCGTCAATTTTCGAGCGATTTGATCGATAGCTAGTCACGCGAACACTTTGCCATTCGCACGCTTTACACGAATGTGTCTATATCGTAGCGCGCGTGAAATCTACATATTTTCAATTTCAATCTCATGCATTTGGAAGGAGCTGTTCACCAAGCAACGCCGCTGACGAATGGGCGGAATTATTTTTGCGTGTTACTTTCCGTATCCGTACCGTTGTTGCCGCGGTAATTCAGGAGGCAAGCTCTTCGAGTTGCTTTTTAATAAATCAATAAAAATAACCCTTTTTTATTCACAATTTACTTAAAATATTTGAAAAATGCTTTTTATTTTACATTTGCTTTGGTATATCAATTAACAGCAATTATTATTTTCATGAATCATTTTTAACATGCAAATTTAACAATAAATATCATTTTTATGTGCTATTTTTTAGATAACTTGTTTATACATATCAATATTGTGCCAATTGCCAAATGGACGAGAAAAAAATTCATATTTAGTATTTCATGCAGGAACAATCTAAACTGAAGAGACTGAAATGAAAACGTGAAAATATCATGACGCAAATTCGAGCAAACCGTTCCAGCTTTCGACAACGAGAAAAAAATTCCATTCATCCCATTGAATATACTTCGGTGACACGATGACACGCGTCCTTAGGACGTTAATGGCACGATTTAACAACACAGCGTTGTTCATTGCGCCTGACGGGCAAGTTTCGTGGCGTAGTTATTACCCTTCCACCCACGCATAACGCTTGCGTGTATATTCTAGGACAGCGGTTCTCAAGACCGAAGCTGTACTCTACTATGCTTGCGAAAATTATTTATCGCGTCATATTTCATCATCATAATTCGCGTTACGCGTTATATCTCGTTCGCTACACGGGAAGAATAATTTTGTTCAAGTATCTAAAAATTTAGCTAGGTACAAATTTGAAAATTATTTTGTTAAAAACTATATTAAAATAAATATGTTGAAAACTCGAGCGTAATAAGCAATGCTGCAAAAAATTTTATTATTGTAACAATGAATTTCAGGGTTCTACATAATTATTTTGATGGTTCAAAACAAAATTATTTTCAGATCTGCATCTAGTTAAATTTTTAATAGATATATATTTTTCAGTAAAATTGTCCTTTCCGTGTTTACTCTGCTAAAGATTTCATTTCATCAAGGACACTTCGCTGTTTATCGTTTGATAAACGATTGATATTGCTATTTCCATTGAGCGATTTTTCCGAAATGCATAGAGAAGGGCAGACTATTCCTGCAATGCGGCGATAATTCCGTACCATCGATAATTCCACGGTTTGAGTTTACGCGAGCGCTTAACGGCCCTGTTACTACGACTTTACGAGAGAATTTGGGATCAACTGAAGAGCTCGGAGGATCTCGTGAGTCGCAAGTTGATGGTATGACCTTACCGGAATCGTCGGGCGCTTTCGCACGTTCCGGACATATACGGTGGCAGCGAATCAACCCAGTTTGAGAGACCCTGACCCAGAATATATACGCGGCCCTTTGTGAACAACTACGGCAGCGTGCGCTTTGTGCGGACTGGTATTTGCGACGGGATCCAACCGGCTTCGAAATTACGGGGTTACCGGTAATATATTACCCAAATGCGCGCAGCGTGTCGGTGAGAGTGTTAAAAATCGATGCGCGATAATTAAAAGCGCGGTCGGAGGTATGCCGTTTTAAATTAAACCCCGAAGTGCCTCGGCTACTCTATTACCTAAATCCCACCTGGTCTATTAGCCGAAGAACGACGCTTAATGAAACATTTTTATCTCGCGGGCGAAATATGTACGTAATAAATATAGAAAATGCACGTTTTAAAGCACCACTTATCTTTCATCGCGTATATCTTGCACGGAGGATGAGAATATTTAACTATGTTATATACGCAAACCTCACCGCGTTAACCATTACTTAGGCGAACATGGCTGAACTTGCGAAACTAATAAACAACTATCTAGCATTATACGATGCTAGTTATACACGAGCGTTCGATCCATCCATTTGCTTTTCGGGTTAACAACGCTACGAAGAGTAAAGTAAACTTGTCAAATCAATAAACAGTCGAGACATTGCGATCCTTGTTGCGCAGTTCTCATGTTTCTGCGATATGGATTGTTTATGTTCGTCATTGTGCTATAACAGAATTGTGCACTCGGGTGAGAAATATTCCGTTCACGTAATGGTTGGGGACTTGATTCAGGATTCTCCTCCTAATTCGAATACGAATGTCTATGACAGAACGTTGGCTTGAAACTCGAGACGACCGAGCGATTCAAATCTTGACAAGCTATCCGCATCCTGATACCTGCACGGAATACCCAAATTATGTAATTCAAATCACATATGTGTATGTGATTAATATTTTTTTAAATAAAGTATTCTTATTGGTATTTTAGTGTTTTAAATGCAAACATATAGTGTTTTGTTTATTGAAAATGTTTAAAAATAAAACATTTTAATATTTTAAAATTAAACACTTCTTTTATGAGTCCACTCTCCTTTGCGTGTTATTTTCGTTGATTGATGAGTAAACTTTGGCTTTGATCAGATGGGTGTAATTGAAATGAATGAAGACTGTCATAGATACAGAACCATCGCCGAGAAAATTGGTAGTAAATCTTGACGTGGATCGATGATAACGACGAAGGTTACGAGCCGTCTGAAAATACGTATCTAATTTCTCAACTGCTAGATTCCATCCTCATAATCCAAGAGCTAAGAGGGATAGGATCGACTCTGGTTTGCTCCGACCTGCCAATAAAATTAATCTCAAAACTACTGGATATCATATACAGGAGAAATTGGTAATCGAAAATTACGATTTCCACGAAATATGTCAAAATCGAGTATCATCGAGCAAGTATAGTTTTCAACCGTGCCGCTATCACTTCGAATTTGCGCGTCTCGCGAAAAAGAGAGACTGATTGTTTATTCCGAACACCATTCAATCCACAAACGATCTCTCTCGCCCAGTTTGGTACCGCCTTCTCTTGCTGACATTGTAGGTTTTCTAAGTCAAGATTGTGCGCTATTGATCGTGCGGCCATTGCACGACCACTCTCGCCTTATTCCTCCGATCTGGGTCACTTCGACGTACGTTCCATGCGTCTCACCTATTGACCCATTTGTATGGCCGCGGACTGCTGGGATGTTATCGAAGGGTAGGAGGAGGAAATGGTTAACTATATATTGTTTCACGGTTTCGGCGCGGAATTCGGATTCTCTACACGGATTACAAGGTCGATGCCGCCAGTATCACAGTGAGTTAATTTCGGTACTCCTGACACAATGTTGCACTGATGACCAACTGACCCTAATGCGAAGGCCGTGGGATGCTGGACGGTATTTTCGGCACGCTAGATGTCTTTCTTAATTCGGAACAATGTGCGCGACCGTGATCGTTTATTGAAAGAAAATATAACCAGGAACTATTAATATTTATCGGTCTAAAATTATTTTTAGATATTAAATTATTACTTGTATACTGTATTATATATCTTGTTGTATATATATTTTTTAAAAAGTATTTGATGTATGCTAATGTATAA